TTACGCCGTACTTGTGTGCTTTTCCAGGGATGTATTGTTTGAACAAAAGTCTGCCTCGCTATGGTACCATACTTTCGTCGATGCTAATAACTGAGCCAGGCATATATACTGATGAAAACCTCTCTTTGAGTAAATCTGAGAGTGGTTTCAACTTGAACAGCCTGTCGTGATCCGAATTCTTGTTATTGTTGTTTGTAAAATGCCAAAATTTGAGGAGTAATTCAAACCTCTCTCTCGACATGGCATTTCGTATGATCTCTGATCCGTGCAATTGACTACTGCTCCAGTAGTATTTCAGTTTCTGCATTTGTACCAATCCCATCTCGATAATGATTCCAAAGAACTTCAGCATCTCTTCATCGATGGTTGGTTTCCATTGACGAAATTTTGACCGTCTGCTAATCTCATGAGTTTGCAAATATTGTTCCGCATAGCGATTAGTTTCACGAACCATAAGGTCAATAATTTCGTCCGTAATGAAATGCCGATAGCAATCGATAGGGTCGATTGTATTGTCTCCTGAAGTCGAAGTTACTTCTTCGACGAGACCATGATCTTCCATAAATTCATCATCCGATTCTGGTTTTATTTCATTCCAGACGTTTGAATCGACCTCGTCATTTGTCACTTCTTCGTCGGAGCTTTCAGATTCAAGATGTATTCTATCGAAATCATCATCCAAATAACTCACTTCACTTCGTGAGCTAACGCTTTCTTCTGAATCGGTTTCTTCGAACGACATGTGTACTATTCCAAAAATTCACTCGTCTTTATATAGTAAAACAACACATGGATAAGAATAACAGAGAAAAGCCTGGAATTTTCCTCCTTCTTCTCACATATGTTATATATAACATGAAAAAGAACGAAAAATTGACTCAGGCAATTCTAGTTACTCGCGAAAAATGATTCATTATGTAGTAATACAAGAAAGAGAACGATAAATAATCAGTAGAAGATAACGAAAGGGTCATTAAGTGCATTTATTAGAAGTGAACTATTCATAAAAATGACATCTTGCAGAAATTTCATACGAAAACTGAATCGTGCCCAATGTGTTAAAGAGAACATATTCTACTGTAATTTAATGAATTATCTTTATTATACTTGTTATTCTTTAACTAAAACAATACAAAACAAACTGATATCTAAAATTGACCTTCTCTACAGGAAGAATCATGAACAAACATCCAATAAAATAATCGGGTTGCTTTGACAACGAGATACAACTTTCTGTGTGTCAGAAAAAAGCCAATATGGATTTGGCAAGTCCTGATGAAAAAAGAACTATTATGACACAATTTGATTACATTTGGCGCAGATTTTTGCAGCTTCTTACATTAGAGCAGAGAAACCTTGCTGTTACGTCTCTATAAATTTAATGGAGCTAATTCATCATGGATCGTCTGATTAAGACACACCACTCGCGAATCATATGTGTCACATATCATCAACACGCCTTCTTTGCCTTGTTCACGCTTTAAGTGGGATCTTTCGATGACTTTTGCTTTGACGCGTTAAATTAAACCCAACCAACAATACATTTCGTGCATGAGGAATAATATGGCAGATAAGGATGTGGGTGTGGAGTGGGTGGGCGACTGGGGTGTGGGTGTGGGTATGGATGTAGGTATATTATTTACCCACACCCACACCCACCCACACCCACCCACACCCACACCCACACCCACCCACACCCACACCCACCCACACCCACACCCACCCACACCCACACCCACCCACATCCTTCAAGTGATAAAAAAATAAAATTACTGAATTCTTGTAATTGCTTGTTATGATCGAACGATATATAGGACAATCCTAGAAGTTAAGCCACTTTAAGGATAATACCCGGTCTGAAGATTTCTCGATCTGTTTTTCTTTTCACACACATTCTCAAATTAACAGGTGAGTCAAAATAAATGAGTCCTCGTAATATCCTTCATATTGTTGGCATCGACGATGGTACATTCCAACGGTGAACGGAGATTAAATTGTTCGTTCTAGTCTAACGGGCTTAGGATATCTGTCTGGATAACGGAAGATCCGTGATTTGAATCCGAAGAAAGACCTATTTTTCTTCGTTGTGTCCATTTATATATATTCATTTACGCTGCAACTCTTTATAACTCACATATGATGCTTACACATTAGAGGTGATCAATTTACATTTAAAGAATTTATGAAATCCAGAAAGAAATTTAAACTTATATTACATGAAAGTTTAAATTTATTTTAAATTTAAATTGAATTTACATAAATTTGAATCCAATTTCAATTAAATCTAAGAGTTTAAATTAACTTAAGTTACACTGAAAATTCATTTAAGTTGAATTTAAATTTGTTTGATTGTTTCTAGGAAAAAGAGCAACCTTTTATCTGGAAATCATGCTATCAAACATATATTTATAAGTATTATAGTATCATTAGAAAACAATATGAAAGAAGCAAGGCTCTTTTATACAGAAATGCTTATTGTGATGATCGGATTTTAACATATAATATCAGTTTCTTTTCTTATTTCTGATTTTTTTTGAAGTCATGGATTTTCACAATAGGAGCGATCAATTTACATTCAAAAAAATTTATTAACTCTACCAATATATTATAAAAAACTAAAATTTGTTTTGAATGAAAATTTGAATTTCAAAATAAATGAACATGAAAACGTGACCGCTGTCACACATCTCTGTCATTTTTCATTGTTTCGAAATGGATATTTTTCAAAAACATTCAGCATTCAATTCTCTACAAAATACTACACAAATAGTCAACGCAGATATGAAAGGAAAAACTTACTATAGTAATACCACAAAAGTCTATCAGTAATAACTTTCGAGGTGTTTGCATCGATACTAGCTCACGTTTTATTCTGGTACTCAAATAGCACATAAAAGATCCTACGTACCACATTTATTTTTCAAAAAACTAGTCCTTATCTTGCACGCTTTACCTTACTATTAACACATAAACTATTTCAAGAAGCACTGCTTCAGAATGCGTCTAACTTTGCATAGTATCGTTTAGCGGCATTTGCACAAATCAAAATCATGCTTCAGAAAAATTCCACGGCAAGTTACCTGTATTTTTCCAAAAACTGGCAAAATATGGTGAAAAATAGGGATATTCTCGAAAATTCATGAAAACTAACATTTATTTAACTCTATAGACTTTTGATCGAAGAATCCTGATGTACACTCACAGAGTACAGCTTTCAAAGCTCAACAAAAATGTTTTTTTTTTAATTTGTTCCTATGGTTTGACACGATAAAAACCCAAAGAGATATCAAGCAAAAAGCTGCGGAGTCATTTATGCTTGGGCATCATTATTTTCTATTACTATGAGTGTGCTATGGAACCACAAGAAAATTAAACTGCTTTCCTTTTATAATCGTTCGCTGTGACTGAAAAATACACAGCAAAATTTCAGAGCTAGAGGTATTTCAACGAAATCATCCCTTGTCCAAATCTGTGTGCTCATCTTCTTTTTTTGAAGAAATCTTTTAGGATTTTTATCTTCATCCTAGGGTTTGGGATAACACAAGCACCAGGTAGCTCCATTATTCCACTTCGTCATTATGACTTGAACATTTTCTAAATAATTCGAAGCACAGACGCATTTTAGGAAAAATACGATTTTTCCAAGAGCTACCGGCTCGAATTTCGTTGATATCACAAAAAGAGCCATTACGCAGAATTAAAACTATTCTCTCTGAAGACAATATCCTAAACATATTCTTCGCCAAAACCCAGCTGAAGAAAATCCCTTCTACAAAAATTTCCTGAAGCATTTATTTTCTATCCAGCATGATATCTAATTTTCAGCGAGATCAAACCTTTTTGGAATGATAAAAGAATACAATTCTAAAACGGTTTTTTTCTACGTTAGAACTCACAAAACGTATTAACAACTCTTACTACAAATGCTTAATGTGAAACATGGCTTTACAGTGATGAATATCTCCTATTAATGTCATATAGAACTTCGGAACATTTTTGTCAACAGGAAAATAATTATTATGATGCGAAAAAAATACTATACAAGCTTAGTGGTACCACTTAAGGATAGAAAAATCTACTAAATACCGATGATCAAAAGAGCCTTCTGAAGAGAATGCAATTTCAAAAAAATTACGTTCACTTGCTGTATTAGTGTGAAATATTGTGTGTTGCCGACAAGTATAACACTATAATGTATCGACGTTTGTTCTATGCAAAAAACGATAGCATCATGTTGATGATAAACACATCGAAAAAAATAAGTTTGACCTGTGTGCATTCATCCATATACATAAAATAGCACATGATCATATATTATTGATATATTATATTGCTTTAATAAAAATATTACCTGTGTTTTGCTTGTTCTATCACTCATCAATCGAACAACTTAAAGAACGGAAAGAGAGAGTGAATCGAAGGTTCGAAAAAATGTGCACTATACCATGCTTCACTTAGTTTTTTCTCATCGTCATACAGAATTTAAAAAATATTAGGACTTCACAATTATATAAGGAAAGTTAGCAGTCAATTCGAATTTTTTTAAAAATGATTCGTTCCATTTACTTAGTGACTTCGACAATACTGTGAGGCAGATATAACTCAACGAGCTCGATTGAATGATGAATTCAGATTTTGGACGAAAGCTACTCAAAAAATATGAAACCTAAAAGTACGCTTTATACTATAAATCATCATCGTCTTTTAAATATTTTAGTCGATTAGTTTACAATAAGAATGAAATTGATAGCTTAAAGAAATACAGACGATTTGGCCACAAGCAACACAAGAGTTTGTATTTCTACTTTTACTTTGAGCAAAAAAAAATTACTTCGTGATATGCTTGAAGCTTATCCTCTATTACAAATTATTCGAACGTTTAGTGTAGTAAAATATTCCACATAGAAAAGAATTTATTTATTTTTTGTAAATTTATTTCGTCGGTATTTTTTGATTTTTTTAACAATAAAAATTGAAGGACGAATATTTGATGCTAGTATTTAATTACTCAATTTTCGATCAAACAATTCAATATCAACAACTAAAAACCAAATTAATAAAAATCGACAATTACAACATGATGATAATGATTATCATCAAGGATATGAACATTGACAAGCAGATGACATTGAAGTTTTCACGTTTTCTCAAATATTTCTTTGCTCTTTATTCGTTATTTCCAGTTTTCCATACGAATAAAATTACAATAATTAAAACTTTCCTTAACTATTTTTTCATTTTCATTCAGCTCTATCACAAATTTCCTCCAGTACGATGAAAACATATTGGGTGGTGTGGGTGTGGATGTGGGTGTGGGTGTGGGTGTGGGGT